TACACCGTGGTGGCCGGCGGTGGCGCTTGGCGGCAGCCACCACCGTGAGGTGGTGGCAGTGGCCTTTCTTGATTTTCCAGCCACATCATACACACACAAGCCCTACAATCAACACATACGACACTGATTTGTGAGATGCACCCCAGCCACCCACCTGGTGGCTCACGGCGGCGGCAGAACACGGTGGCAGCCACCCCCGGTGGTGCACAGTGACGGCAGCAGGAGCACCATCGGCGACAGTAGCGACTCTTGCGGCAGCAGCAAAGGCGGACGGCGGGACAGAGGGACGTAACTAAGGTATAGCGTTGAAATGAAGGAGGAGAAGGGATCAGCAACACAGATACGAAGGAGAGCATCCGTTCGTCTTCACGGACGGCACAAGGGCCACCGACGTCGCTGGGAATGGCGGATGCGGCGCCCGGCGGTGGATCCGTCTTCTTCACAGAGGCGGTGCAGCGGCGTCCCACTCCGGTCGTTCACGACCCTTGCATCAGCGACAACAGCATTCCATACACGGTCTTCGGCGGTCCTACTTCGGTTGTTCGTGACTTCAACGACAGCGGGTTACGACGGCCGACCCCGACTAGGTGGCTGCAGCTGAGGAGGATTGTGAGATGGTGGCGGCTGAAAAACGTAGCTAGGGTTAGGGTTATGGAAGAGTCGATGGCTATATACCTGATTCACATAACTTCCACCCATATTGACGGAATTGGCCCCTCCTTCTCCAATTTCTTTCAAATCCAATCCATATTTACCCTTTTAGCCCTCGCCCTTCTAAATTCTTTTCAATTCAAGCCCAATTATCAAACTTCGGCCATGTTATCCTTTTTAGTCCTTCCTCCTTTCATTCTTTTCAACTTAAGTCCCAAACTTACACTTTAGTCCCTGATTCCATAAAATCTTTTTAATTTAAATCCCGAATTTATACCTAACCCCCAAAACTAACTTCTTGTTGCACTACTTCACATTTATGGCTATTATTCTTTTATAAATCTTTATCTATTTATTTATCTATTAAACTGGGTGTTACAAAGGGTCAATTGAACCAATTTAACCCAAGAAGTCAATTAGCCTTAAGAATGAAGGAATCCCCAATTCCTAGAGGATGTCAATGCTTACACATCCATAAACGAGTTATGATTCATAAGCTAGAGATGATTTCTACCATCATAAAGCCCTTGTTCTAAGTAAATTCAATGATTCAATGCTAAACCAAAGAAATAAACCAACAATTTCTTATTGAAGTACCAAGCTTATGATCAAAGCACTAAACAAGCATAGGAAATATGAACTAGAATCATAGACATAAGATAAATGATAAATAAGCATAAATCCTTCAAAAACCCACAAACATTCAGAGGTTTTAGCCAAGGTCTACCAAAATAGGGAAATTAGCCACTCATGGCAACAAAATAACAATAACAAAAGTCTAATTGCATAAAGAAACTACCAATGACTTGGAAAGATGAAAAGAAATGGGTTTCAAGCTCCAAAATCGCCTTCTTCAGCTCTCCAATGGTGAAAAATCGAGATTATGGTTGCTAGATCTGATCCCCCAAGGTCATGGTGTTCCAAATGACCAAAATGCCCAAACTGGGCAGTTGCGCGGGTACCCGCGCGACGAAAATTTCACCCGCGCAAGTATTGCTGTAATGCTATTGGCTCCTCATTCCTCCACTCCACCCTTCCACTACCAAAGATTCCTTTGGTCCCCTCCATATCCATGTGATTTAAACCAACCAATCATCATTTAGCTATAAAAATGGACACTCCAAGCCCAAAATAAAAGTTTATTACCCATCTTCACAAGCCCAAAATATCCAAGTCTTTAACTCTTAAGGCCCAAATCTCCTTTTATGGATCCGCCAAGCCCAACAATGCCTCGAGAGCCCACTAAGCCCGTCTCCAATCAACCCGCGTCAGCAAAGAACACCGAAAACCTGCAAAATAAAAAACACCCGATACGATCCATGATAAAGAAAATAAAGAATATACAATGCAATACTAATAAAAAGAGCTAAAAAATCTAAAATAAACTAATAAAAATAAGGAAATAAAATAAGTTATCAGGGATTATAAGTCATTGAATATGAAACAAAAAATGACTAAGTTATAGTCTAAAATCATATACAAACTCTAAACTACATCTTTAAAAAAAATTACATACCAATTCGACTTCAAACAAATGAGATATACATGTTTTAAAATTTTCATAGAATATAAAATACCAAAATAAAAAGCTGCAAAGCTGAAAATTTCCAGCTTTAATATCCCTATTTTAGGAGTCATTAAAAAATGAAACCAAAAATCAAAAAACCACATATCAATCTGACTTCAAACAAATGAGATATTCATGTTTTAAAATATTCACAAAAACCGATTCCGGCCACTGAAACATGTTCCGGTTCTTAAACACGGATTACCCAAAACCCGAATAAATCTCTTCTTTAAACCCGGAACTCGGACCGGTTCTAGCAGTTCACTAATACTCCCCCTTAGATATGGATGATCGATGAGGTTGGATAAGGATATGTTAAGCCATAGGGATGTGAAGTCCAAGGTTCTCTCTCTAACAAACTGTTGTGAAGATAGGAAGACTCTAACATATATAGAGATGTAAAGGACCGTGTCGTACCGATGTGAGTTAGAGCAAAAATACCATATGTTGTTAAGCCACGGGGATGTAAAGTCTAAGGTTGTCTCTATAATAAAGCTCTTATGGAGATGGGGAGACTCTAACATATATAGATACATAAGAGACAATGTCGTACCGGTGTGGGATACACTAACAAATACTATATGGTGGTGGGCAGTAGTTGGGGTAATGTTGGGGATTCATAGAAGAGATATGACAAAATGAAAGGTGGATGACAAGTATGTTGGTCATACCTAAGAGTCAAATGCAACTTTTTACAGTTTTCGTTGTTAACATTACTCAAAACATAAATATTATTTTTTGCATGGCCAAGGTATCAGTGGACTAGTAAATGAGACCTCGTAGACAAACTTTGGGGATGATCCCAGGGGCGGACGCAGGAATAAGTAGCAGGAGGTGCACAAAAAAAATTCCGATAAAATATAACAAAAAAAATATGAGTGCATTAAACATAACAAACTATTGTAGACAAACTTCGTGAAGGGCAAATTGGTCTTTCCATGGACAGGTTCTTGGTCTCGTGGAGTTTGTTTTCGTGTTGGTTGTGGTTGTACAAAGTTTTGAAGGCATTATTACCAAAATTTCATTCCGAATTAATGCATTTTTATAAGTTCCATGGTTTAGAGCAAAATATAATATACAAATGCCAACTAATAAATGCATTTTTATAAGTTCGATACATTTGCTTGACAAAACAAACGAATCAATTCAAAATGTAGAATGAGACATAAATTGACTAGAATGAGACATAAATTGAGTTGACCTAAATTTTAATATTTATGAAGAAAAGCAGTTGTTTAGTTTGAAACATATGTAATGCGTATGTACACATATATGTGTGATGTGTATGGAAGAAATGTTAAAATAGGATCCCCATAGGAGGAGGCTAGCTCGCTAGGTAATTATTTTACGCCAAACGTGAATATAAGACCATTAAGTATACAACCTTACATATAGAACATATTAAAACTACGTAATTTTGATTAAATCTTATATAAAAATAAATGATTATTCAATGTCTACATTTTCTTCTAATATATCTCCAAAATATGTCTTCTTCCTTCATTCACTCCACTATTTTCCGTCACTTCTTATCATATTATTGTATTATTGTTTTGTCGTTTTTTATGATGCAAAAGCTATTACGTCGAGAAGAAATTAAATAGAAAATTATGAAAGGCCATGTGTCACAAAGAATTTGTATATAGCTCTGATATACCCAATTGTGTATGAAAATATATATTAAATATGTAGACGGTTGAAATGATTTTGAGTTCATGGGAGCATATGTTTGCTAATGGAAAAAAAATGATTTTTTATTAAATTGTCAAGTTAATAAAAAAGTAAACTATTAATATAGGAATTTTAAACAACAATGAAAGTGATTTAATTGAGTTTTATTGAAACGGTTTAGTTTTAATAGGTTATATTCACCAAGCCCTTACATCACACCTTTGTCGAACTTAGCCATGGCAACTTTTGATTAAACATGTGCACTGTAATATACTCGTTCCTTTATAGGTGCATAATAATAAAAAAAGTTTTTTTTATATTAATACGAAAAAATCTAGTAGTTGCCGGTGCAACCCCGTGCACCACTATAGATCCGCCCCTGGATGATCCAAAAGAGTCACGACTTATATAGGAAAACATAAATATTTTTTCCGCATGGTCAAGGTACGGGTGGATTGTTAAAGGAGACTTCTATTTGATGCTCTCGAGGAGTATATCCCCATGTTGCTACTGTTAATAGACTATTGGTGCAAAGTCGCATCCAACTTATCCTCAAATCGAGCTCAAGCTCATTTTCACGAGGCTAGTCGTGTGTCTTGTAGAAGGGGTCTTGAAAGATTGTGTTGTTTTTTCTATGTATGCTTTGGACCTTTTGAATGTATGTTCTCAACCAAAAATAAAATAAGTTTTCACCAATTTCGACATTTATTGAACATTTAATATAAAGTCAACTAAAAGATAACTAGAACAACAATAAGAGTGAACTACATACAAATTGTGTTGGTTGGACCCCAATAGTGTGTGGAATTCTGTGATACGTCATCTTGATTAAAGATAAAAATATTTCAATGAGAGATACAGACAGACAGTTAGTTACCCATGTGATTCTGATAGAGTCGATCATATCGTTTGATGAAATATCTAATTTAGTACCATAGGTGCGTTTGCTTTTTTTATGTCTTTCTTATAAATATAGTTTCATTTCATGTTACCCTTTATGCACTAACAGGGTTTTATTGCGCTTCTGGTTGGTCCTTATACAGAATGAACCATCATCGAATTATGGAATCATGGAATATGGATGATTTTAAACGAGGAAAATTTGATTCTAGATTGACATTACGTATGAAATATGAATAGTACACGGGTACACATATGTAGATCTCATGTGTCTGCAAATAAATAGTACTTTGCAACATTGTTTACAATCAATCGGACAGCAGCAACAGTCGTTGCTACAGTCAGGACAGAAAACACAACGATAATCGCCCAGTGCCAGATCTTCTCAATCTTTGCTGCTTCCCCCTTCACCTGAAATTAAAAATACAGATAAAAATTCAACTCATGGAGTTGTAGTCGATCATCTACTTTAATCGACTTCTGGTAAACTGAAGTGCAGAATCGCAGGCTAACCTTGATGAAGATCATGCTAGGAAACAAGAAGGTTAATGGAATCAGCAAAAACGATCCTAACAAGTTCACGAAATCCCCCATGAACGGCAGTGCTGCTGCGACCACCATGTTCACGGCGAATAGCAATGCTCGAAGAAAAAACAGACGTTTGATGTTTTCTCTAGAATGTATGCCTTTATCCAGCTTCAGAAACTTGGTATCTAAGGCTTCGTGAACTGGTGCGATAAACGCCTGAAATCCGAAACCAAAACTAGATATAACTTATAAAGTTTATATGATCCTTAACATAAACACGACGAAAAGATGGTCGATCTTAATTCTTACATGTTGAGAAATTATGGATTGTGTGAAAACCACCGAGTTTATGAGGATTTTCGCCCATTTTGGTCCACTTAAGTCCGCCGGAAGATACTCAGAGACTGATGAACCATAGGCCCAATATCCGGCGATGCTCACACCATAATAAAACGCCAACCCTACACTGAACTGTAGATGCAAAGCTTTCCTCATGTTCTTAACAGCCGGCATCCGTAGAGTTGACTACAATTCGATTGGTTAGTTTTTTTAATGCTAAAAACATTTTCAATTAGCTTAATTATGCGAGGTTTTCACCTGAATCTCTGGTATAATCCCCGCTGAATTGCAAGCGATAATGGCTGATATTGCACAAAAACCATTGAAGATCTTGGAAGCATTGTTTCCTCTAGTTTCATAGTCGTTCACTCTGTTGGATTTCAATCCTATGAAACGTGTAAATCTGTCATTATTTCACATGATATCAAGATCATTGAAAGCTACAAATACATGAACTACTTAATTACCATCCTTGATTACAACTACCAGAAGAACCACGATGTAAGTAAACGTAAGAACTGTTGAAAGATACAACCACTTCCCCATTGATGATATTGTTGGGACTAAAATTGAAAACACAAAGTACGCTGCACCAGTGATCATGATATAATATTGAAGTCTTAAAGGGGTGTCACCAAATTCTCCATTGATTTCCTGTTGTTATAACACATTAGATTTGAATAAAACATTAACCAAAAATTAAAAATAAATAGTGATTCGAATTTTTAGTTAATTTCTTACCTTGAGTGCCTTCCCTCCAAGAAGTATGAACCCCATATTTGTAATAAGAAGGATCAAAACTTGGGATACCCAAGTAAGATAGAACATTTCTTGTCCTGAAAATAAGTTTTTTTAGAACATATATATAATTTGTGCAACATGGGAATGAAGAAGTAATTGATATATATCAAACTTAAACTTGCCAAAAATAGAGCCCATGAGATCTCTATATCTAATGAAACGTTGGCCATTTACAAAGTGAAATCCTGCTAAAAGCCAGCTAGAGTAGGCAGTGAAGACAGCCACCATTATGAGGCTGATGATGCCCCATGTCCACCCTAAAGGCACCAACATTAGGTTTGAAAAGCTCAAGATATATCCACAACTGTAACCTGTTACTAACAGCAACCCAACTTGCCTCCATGAATCTACAATTTCAGATGAATTTTGTTACAATAAAATAGAAAAAAAAATGAAATAAAGGAAGTCATGTTGTTTTAGGTTAGGTGTAACGAACCAGAGTCAATGGTATGAGCAGAAACAAGACCACTTTCAGAGACTAGACCATGACCACCCTTTGGATCACCTTCCATGTTAATGTTACCCTTTTGGTTTTCAAGGTATCTATGGCTTTCTTTGTTCAATGGTTGGGGATAGAAATATGATTGCTAGTGTACAAGGTTAGTGGTAATGGATGTGACATTTTTTTTAAGTAATGTATTGCTAGAAAAAGTGGTGAGTCTTGAAGCAAACTGATAAGATTTTGAGTCATATAAGTAACCTATTTGTAGAATGCAAGAACTCCAAAAGCTAAGGACCCTGTTGTGCCATGGGGGCTTGTGTCTTTTGAACATTATAGCCACTTGACAACGTTAACTTTTTGCTTTTTTTTCTTCTAGTGCTTTTGTTCAAATCATGGATCATGATGTAGTATTGAAAGGGTTGATTAAATATTAATTTTAATACTGTATTTTATTAATTTGCAGTTTGTTTTCATTTTCGTTGGTGACTTCAGTGTCATTAAGTCATTTTTGGGTAAATGAAATTTTTACGATTGTGAGATGGGGTTTAGACTATGATCTTATAACCATGCATAGGGTCCAAATACATTCTAAGGAAAGTGAAAATACATGATCATGAGAGATATCCATCTAACAATTTCTTTTTATTACAATATTTTATGATTCAAATTATTCATGGAGCATGATGAATGATCTTTTTGGTAAGTAATTAGCCCATATTATATGATTTTGAATTTGATCATATGCTAATTAAGCAAATGATTATGTATATGATGGATCTGCATGGAGGAAATATTATTATTACTTTAAATGGAATGAAGGTATAGATAAGCTAAAGAAACGGTGGTGGAAGTGGAGGCAAAGGTGGTGGGGTTGGGGGTAGAACGAGCGAGCCTTTTAGGCTTTTTCTTTTATAGTTGAAGATCTTAACTGCAATATATCTTTGATTTTGGCCCCTACAGTTTGGGAAGTTGGATTTAGTCCCTCGGATCTTTCTGAAAGAGAAGTTCAATTATTGTATGTTTTCTAGCCAATAATAATATAAAATAAAAAGAATTCCCGTTTAACTTAAACTTAGTGTGTTCAAATCTGGCCCCCACTTCCCACATGCATAGTTTTATTTTATAATTTATACAGTGTTGAAAAATTCCCTTTCATGTTTTGTAAATAGTTGAATTAAAATGATCTTGTTTTTTACTTCCTAGCCGCTAAAAAGTTTGTGGTATTGATTTTTTGGCGTAAGCTTACTTTACTTTGGATGTTGAAAGTTAATTTCAAACACCCATTTTTAGTTTTGTTAGACGATGCTATAGATTTTTATGCTGTTGTTGGGTGAAGGTGAGTGACAGGAACGGCATAAGTAAACTTGATTATTGTTCTTAATTATTTTTAGAGTAAATAACACGAATGGTCCCTGAGATTTTGGAGAACTTATGTTTTTTTTATCTTTAACTATTTTTTAACTCCTACGGTTCTATAGTTTGTTTTTATTGCAAGTTTAGTCCCTGATCAGGTTAAAAAGACTAAAATACCCCGATTACTTTCATTTAACTTTATTTTTATTATTTGTTAATAATTTACATAGTTTTGTATGATAAAATTGCAAAAAGTGTCCCTATGGTTGTCAAAATTATGTGATTTTAGTAATTTTGGTCCCTATACACTTGAAATTACTTTTATGTCCTTATAATTTATTTTTCCATTTTTTAATTGTTATAATACTTCAATTATTAAAAAACGAAAAAATTGAAAATTAACCCCACCCACTCTACCCCCACCGTCCTATTTCCCCTCTATAACACATATCTCACCCTCTCTTCTTCAAAATCAATAGAATCAAACCCATCACCCCTATCTGAAAAACATTCATCGGACCGCCACTTAGAAGCATCAGTGGCACCCATTACCACCACCGATCACACCCATTATAAACTACTTTGTCAAAAATGTAAACAACAGATCTATTCACAACATCAACAAATCTTTTATTAAACGAAAATAAGATCCAGTTGGTTTTCAAGATACTTACAACTGAAAATTCACTACATAAACACTCACCCTCAAACTTATATAAAGAAACTAACAGATTTAAGATTTTACAGAACAAAATCAACAAGAACAACCCTAAACAGACCAAACCCTAATATGAAGAAGAAGATGAGAGAATAGAGAGACTCGAATAAGTGTGTGATAAAGATCTGAATGACCTCCAAAACAGTTGGAATCAACTATATATACTTCGGGTAATATCCATGGATTAAAACCGGAACATATCCGACCCAAACCCATCCTCAAGGATCCGCGTGTTTTCTAGTTTACATAAAGTGAGCCGCAGTCCCTGCAATAATAAAACAATACACAACGTACCCAAATACCACAAATCTTACTGTAACATCCCGTTTAAAATAAAATAATTAAATAATAAATCTGGAACCCCGAGATGAAATTTTATTATTATTGTATAGCCAAAATCAAATAATAATTAGTGGGGTGTTGGTTTCGGGAAAACACATGACAAGATTTGAATCTATAGGGGTTAAAGTGTGATTGTGGGACTTAATTTGTAAAGATTTTCATAAGTCAATGGCTGATTGGTAACATTTTGGACTTAAATTGTAAGGATTTTCAAAAGTAGGGGTTAAATGGTAATTTATGGATCTTAAATGAGAATAATTTGTAGAGGAGGGGTTGTTTTGTAATTATTAGACTTGTATTGAAAAGAATTACGAGAGCAAGGGTTTAAAGGGTAAATTAAGGATTTGTTTTTAAAGAAAAGGGAGGAGAGGGACTATTTCCGTCAATATGGCTCATAGTTTGTATGGGACGGGTATAATTGTTCCATTGCTCATACCCTAACCCTAACAACACCCTCTCCAGCCGCCACCTTCATCACCTTGTCTCTCCAGCCGTCACCCCTCCATAACCGCCGATATGAGTCATCGGCCATCCAACCCGTAGCCGCTTCCGTCGCCGGCAGGGACCACGAACCACGCCGTGTTTCTGTCGTTGCTGTGGATCGCCGAAGTCCGTTTGGAGCTGTGAACGCCGACGTCAAAACGCCACCATCCTCTGGCCGCCAGTGATGTCGTGAACAACAAGGGTTCTCGCCTGGGTCGTCGGAATCCGTGAGACGGAGCCAGTACCGCTACTGCTGTTGTGTTATCCTTCCTCCACATCTTGTTCTTCCCCTCTCTCTTCTCCGTTCCTTTGTCGTTGTTGCTGTCGATTCGAAGCAACCATCGACGTGGGGGAGTTCTGCCGCCAAGGGCCGCCGCTGCTGCCGTTTTCTTGTGCTACTGACGTCGCCACCCACTTCAGTGGATGTTGGGTTTATTGTTCCGGGCAAGTATGTGAGTTATCTGTTGCCGTATGGTGGCAATTTTGTGTCGTGTGTGTGTGGGTGGCTGTCTTAGCCGGAATCTCAAGAAGGCCACCGCCACCACCGTGAGGTGGTGGCTGCCACCATATACCACCACCGGCCACCACGAGGTGGTTGTGTGTGTGTGTTTATTAATGAGTGTGTGTGTGTGTGTTATTAGTGTTTGTGTGTGTGTTAATTGGATGGTATTGTAATTTGTAATAAAATGGAATAATGAAAAGAAAATTTGTCACCACCACCGTGAGGTGGTGGCTGCCGCCACCGGCCGCCGTGTCGGGAGGCGATGTGCCTTGTTTGGTTTGTGACTCGTTTGGATGTTTGGACAAAGGGACTACCAAACCCTAATGGGCCCAAAGAAACCCTAGTAGGCCCAATGAGACTTTAATGGGCCCAATGAAGCCCTAATGGACCTAAAAGCCCAACCAATTGGCTAATGGGCTAGTATTGGGCTGGAAACCCTAATTAGGGTTTGGAAAACCCTAACGTCTTGGAAACCCTAATTTTGGGGAATGATCGGGACCCGCATTGGAACTAATTAATAAACTTAAAATATTAATTAATAATCATTGGCAAATTAATCTAAAGCAATATGGGACTTAATGGATTAAGTCCTTAATGGGTTAAGTAGGAACACTTAACCCTAATTGTCTTTTTATGAGAAACCCTAATTTCACTTGGGCTTTGTGTTGGGCCTTTCCATTGGACTTTGGTAATTGGATTATTAATGGGTCATCCAAGGATGATCATATGGACTAGAATATGTTGATGGTTTTAGGATAAGGCCCATGTGAGAGTCTTGGGCCCAATTTGGAAAATTGGGCCATTGATGGGCCATAATTGGGCCTTTATGATTATGTGATATCGGGCCATGGGAATACTAAGAGTTTGGGCTAGAATAATTGGATGGGCCTTAAGGAAAGACCATATAAAGGTCTGGGCCCAATTTTCCATATGTTGGGCTTTAGTCCATTGGCTGACTATTGGGCCTTTGGAGTGTGAGTTGGACCTTGGTCTTGGAACCCAATTATTAATTGGGTGTTGTTTGATGTTGGCAGCTCGGGAATCTGTCAACCAGCAGCCGGAGTTAGATCTGTGGGACTTCAGCAGTGTCAGGTGAGTTATCCTCACTATATCAACAGGGTCTAAGGCACCAAGGCCGGCCCTTTATATATTTGTATCTGGATTATGGCATGATATGTTTATTGATTACATCCTGGTAGTTAGGATGGTGTTATGCTTATGCTTAGTGACCTGGTTAGGTCAGTGTCCTGGTTTATAGGATGATGCTATGTTAGTGACCGGTTAGGTCTGTATCCCAGTTATTGGGATGTTGTTATGATTAGTGATCTGTTAGATCGGTTTGACTGTTATATGATATGAGCTAGCGTATGATATTTATGTGCACATGTTTGTTTGATTGGGGGTTGGGTTGAGGCGGTCCTGCTTTGTGTTGTAGGCCAACATACCCGGCGAGCGGTCCGGATAGGCTGTAGGCCCTGCGAGGCGGTTCAGTCATGCCGAAGGCTCGGGAGCGATCCGGATAGGCTGTAGGCCCTGCGAGGCAGTCCAGTCATGTCGAAGGCTCGGGAGCGGTCCAGATAGGTTGTAGGCCCTGCGAGGCGGTCCGGTCAGGCTGAAGGCTCATTATGCATGTTGTTCTGTATTTGTTATATGATATGATTATATTTGTATGACGATGGTATTTTGGGGGAACTCACTAAGCTATGTGCTTACGGTTTCAGTTTATTGTTTCAGGTACTTCAGATATCTCGGCAAGGCGAAGGCGTGATCGTACAACTCCTCATATCTCATGATTTTATGTTTGATTTTGGGGATACTCTGATGATTAAACTA